TCCTAAATGCCTGAGTCACCTACAGGAAGTACGCCATACCTTAGGCCCACACGCCTGAAGAGATCCCACAGGTTCTTCTATTGGAGCTACAGGGGCACGGGGCTACAGTATGACGAAACAGTTGTTCTTCGACTGACAGCCAGTCTGCCGGCATGTAACTCCTTAATTCAACCCTATTTGGCTCGGGGGGTAGGCTGGGGAAGCACAGGGTAGTTTTCCATAAATTTGCAACCCAGTATGTAAAGCCCCCAACTTGCTACCCCCACCAGAGGTACCCCGAATTTAGCAAACCCTACACCCTATAAACCCCTACATAATTCCAGCTTCCATCCTTTTCCATTTGATTCTCATTATGGGCAGTGATATCCCCGAACCCTGATCCGTAGCTCCATAGGATCCTGTACAAACCTATTACAAGCCAGCCTAGCCTGCCCTCCAATTTCTCCAGCGCGAAGGAGGCGGTGACGGCCTTGGAAAAGCTTAAAGCAAATTTCTGGGATCCTCAGGTAGGGTGTTGGGGTTCAGGGTTTAGGGTTGCAGGTTCAAGGGCTCCACTTGCATGCAAGACGCCAGCTGTACGGACCTGAAGAAGTAGAGTAGAGTCTGGGGTGCATTATAGTCGGGTTACATCCAGATTAGATGGGAATACTTCCGCATAAGCCACTTTTCATGTCTTGTTCCATTTTCTTTCCCATCTGATTCTCCGTTGTTCTAATAATTTGGACTGCTTAACCCCAACTTTTGCATCTATGCATAGTTATGCATAAGTATGTATACATACATATATAGCTTGACCTACAAGCTCCGGACTTAACCCCTCCTACTCTTGTTTTTAGCTGCTATGTTAGCTATGATGAAGGCGTGCAGCCATTGTCAGGAATAATGCGCGCTTCACTCAGGGAAATGTTGCTAGGTGGGGAGTTACGAGGTGGATACCCTTACATACAGAAGGCTTACGAAAGCCTTATACTATAAGCACATATAAGTGCAATATAAGGCTGCTACTATGAGCCTGGAGGTTTGCACCTGAGGCAATAACTATGCTCTTCAAGCAAACATGCTGCAGCCAAAAGGATAGCATGATCTTTTCGACATCGGCCCTGGACCCACGCCCTTAATCCAGCACTCAGATGCACAAACCGTAAGCCCTAAACCCTGAAGCGTGTGACTCTATAGTCCACGCGCTTAACGATGCTACTCAGGTGCGGTATCCGGAAGCTCTCTTTCTCAACCCACTGCGGAATCTTTTTCAACCGCTTCCACAGTCGAACACGCTGCTTCCTCCAGCTGCGCCCGCACAGCGCTGCTGTCTCCTCCTGAAGCCTCAGTTGGAAACGAGGGTGGTTTTGGGGGGCTAGGTTCTGGGGTGTAGGGGGCCCTGGGTTTGCTGAGCGGTTCTCGAGCCAACGTACAAAAGAGGGGGGACAACTTTTAACCTATATTCAAAAGGGTTGAGCGTTCAGGCGTTTGATGTTGAGAGCTTGCTGCAGAGTTTGGGGTTATGGTTCGGGGTTGAAGGCTTTACGTCTCCGGGAAGTAGCGCTCCCGAGCATGAGGCCTAAAGAGTGAAGGGTCTGCAACGACTGTTTTGAGATCGATTTCTCAAGTTGGGCGCCAACTACGGCAGCCACAGTTAGACACCCCCCAAAAGCAATCGATGATTTTGGGTACCTCTCGATGTACATACAGAACTAAGGACATGCAGATGCTTATGTCCTGATTACCGTGTCTTTGCCCATGCAAGGCTTCTGCATATACAGTATATTTAAGCATCAACTTCCAAGGGCTCTGAGTCTGTAACCAGTGCCTGCACATCGTAGCAGTTTAATGTCTAGACCGATATGGCCCATAGTGTTATAGTCTGGAAACCAAATATATAAACTAGCAACACTAAAAACCATTATCGACAATTTCCGTATCTAATAGAAAACTGACACCTAAACCCTGACTGTACTGCAGGCCTTAAAGTTTGCACATAGTACCAACTGAGCCTGTTTAAAGCCCTGAAGGTGGAGGCTATACGGCTTATTCCATGCGGCAAGTCAAGCAGGAGAGCGCTGGTTACCTAAACCTGGAAAACCGCCTCCAACTAGATACGCCCAAGCTTGAACCCTTCAATCTTTTAGCCCCCAAGCCCTGAATCCTGTACCATGCTTGCACGCACACCTGGTTGCGGAGGTCTCCGTGAAACTGTGAGACCTGAAGCCTAAACCCGAAACCCTGTGGCAGCCTAGAGGCTGGGTTGCCCCAAGTCAGGATCAAGCCATCCTTCCAGCACAGGGTCCATTTCTGCAGTTCAGGGAGGGGTAAAGCAGTAAATCCTTGAAAGTCTATGCCTGCCTAGTTGGGCTCTAAAGGCTCTCAAGCCTGTAAACACAACCTAAAGTCTGAGGTAATTGTCTCCAGCATTCTATCAGTACAGGACACGCAAGGAAAGATGTGGACTCCTACAAACGCTCCCAAACGGCTTTGAAAGCAGCATTGCATCCCAAACCTGAAACGGAGACTACCATAAGTGCCATGCTACCTTCAAAGCAGGGCCCACTACCTCCACAGCAATGTCTAGGGAAATTGAATCTCTACATAAGTTTGGAATTTTGTCCTGGGCCCGAATAAACATGAAGGTATGCAACCATCTACGAAAGGCATATTGTGTTAGGGCATGGTTGACGATTTTCTCAAGACTTGCTGCACCGGAGAACCGTGAAAAGCTCCGGTCCTAGTTGACTGCATGGGCCCCTGAACTGTCAAACTTGCTCTGAACCTCAGTCCTCCGCCCTTCCCACCATGACCCCTATAGATTGGTCCAATAACCGAGTCTTGGCAACTTAGTCATCCTATTTGCAAGCCCAAGGAAATCTTGCAGCACCTAAGGTCCATAAACTACTGCTAGTTTGAGGACTTGGGATACTTGAGGTATTACAAGATTTCCTCCTTCGAAAGCACCCTACTGCCCTACTGCTTTCCACGATTGTGTCCTCACGGATGGCTGCGAAGGCTTCCTGTGATGCCTTCGCAGAAGATCAGGCTTGAATTCAGAAGGTTTTCCGATACTGTATATAGCTTCTTAAGGAAGTCTACATGATATGCAGTTTGTGACATTTCGCACTCTGCCAGGCAGACCCTAATCGTTCCAACATGACCTCCACTTACAAGCTGATGCAGCTTCATAACCCTTGCGGAGCTCGCAAGCTGTCAGTTTTCCTTGGGGTGGGATGCCAGAAGGTTCAAGGCCATGAGTGTCACTTTGGTGGAGGGTACAATAATGATAAGAACAATAAGACAACCCTAACTGTGTACTAGGAGTAAGAACCAGAATGATGCCAAGGATGTTTGATGACTACGATTCCCCAATGTCTGCTTAATGTCCTAGGGCTCAGCAAGTTTCAGGCTTGAAAGGAAGCTTGTGTTTTTTTAGCAAATCGATTTTTGTGCCTTGCCTCGGCGGTCTAATGTAATCCTCTTTTTGGGGGGGAGGGGGGCGGGGGGGTACCTTCTTGCCTTCTTACCGCCTTTGAGGATAAACTTATATAAGGTAGCTACCAGAAGCAAATCACACTGGCAGATCCATTTGTTCGGGATGCTCCCGTCTGGAAACAAAATATTTGACTGCCATCAACTTGCTCCTCAGTCTCAACGGCGAAGCCATGGTCAAAAGAAGCAAGCAGAATCAACTTCTACTCAAACGGGACTCGGATATCTTACGCTCCTTAATGATTTTCAGTCTTCTCTTACCACACTCTCATGGTTTAGAGTGCATAAGGCGTCTCATCTTGTTGCAACAGGTGATGCACATAATGCCCTTGCTACAAAACTCATATTGCGAAAGAAACAGGCCTGGATGTGCCGCACCCGTGACAGCTGCTCCTGCCAACAACTGCGCTAGAGTGATGTCCCGCTCCAGAGACTTACCCATCCAGAACTTTCACGACTTAATCACCCACTGATGAGAATTATGCGGATGTTGGGCTCCATGATCCATTGGCTGAATGGCTGATGGCTGAATCCTGCAAGTTTTCAAGCGCTGCTTGATGCAACCTTCCGACCTCGTAGGTTCACTGCCCTGCCTGGAAACCTCAAAGCTGATCCTGGAAATCCATGTTTCCAAACAAACTACATTGGATCCCAAAGTCTATAAGTGACACCTACATTCTTTGCTGTCTGAAACATAGAGTGTCGGAGTTGAGTCTTGGAGGAATTGTGTCAGTCTGGCAAGGTTTTGTCACGGATGCTCGAAGGGGGAGTGGGGGAGTGGATCCCTGAGCCATCCCTGTATGGCTCCACACATTACATCCCAACCCCAAATCACTGACCCTAGGGTTCAGGGATCAGGGTTTAGAACCTAAAAAGCTGTACTGTAGGCTCCATCTCTGACCCCGAGCTCTGACTCAAATAACCCCAAACCCTACACGCTCGCATCCAAAAGCCTAAGCCCGAAACGTCTCCGAGACACATCAAATGTCGCAGAAGTCCACACCTCTCGAACTCTAAACCCAAAACCCCATCAACCCTGAACCTAAACCCTATAAACCTCCAAACCCTAAACCCTGAACCTCAACATACCTAAATCCCTTAAGCGTATCAAACCCAAAGAACAAAACTGGTTTCAGACCAACCTCCAAGTCGGGGCAGGGAGTCTGCTGCAGGAGCTTGTGGTTTAGGGTTTAGGGCACTTATGGTTTAGGGTTTTGGGTTCGGGGTTCAGGGTGTTGGATTGAGAGCTAACAGCTAAGGTTGAAGGTCTGGGGTGTAGGGTCCGAATTAGCTCGGATAAGGGTTTGGGGTATGTTACATGAAGCACACACACGGGGTATACGGGTGAGAACTTCAAGCTTCCATCCCCTCCCTACAAATTCTGGTGACAATGGTTCTTTTAGCCCCTTTTGCGTTTTAAGTGCCTAAGCCGGAAATCTCAGAAAACCCGCCCAAACCTCATGACCTGAACCCTATACATACAAACCCGAAACACGGCTGACCCCCATCTCAACTCAGAGGTTGTCCTGCGCACTGCGACTGTCGCCACCAAACTTTCGCAGTCCCCAGGAAACCTGTACAATTCTGGTCAGCGGTTTTAGATGTTTTGTTGAGACATGTAGGGTTCAGAAGGCAGGGTCCAAGGATAAGGTGAGTTAGACTTGGGGCGTTCCCGGAATGCAGGCACTGTGGGGTTTGGGATTTGATGGTTGAACTGATTCTTAACGCCCACTCGAACCAAAAGGAGGATAATTTCTTACTCTATATTGGGCACTATAGTACAGGAGTGTTTTGAGAAGCATCCAGGTCAGGCAATCTGCCTGGGGCTCTGAAAGGGCTTAGGTTGGACACTGCCTACCCTATGACAGTTAGAGATAGCATCTACATTAAGGGTACAATATGGTCACATGTTGGGGGACTGTGCTGTGGCGAGTGCAGCATCCAATGTTAGGATTTAGGCTTCTATTAGGTTTTTGTGGGGGCCACGCTGCGAGGTGGTAGAACTAGGTATGCATGTCACGAGACATCTGTGCTTCTCATAAGAGACTCAAATAATCTGATTTTAGCCTGGGTGTTCCTACCAGACGGTTGCATATAGAGGGTGCGCATCTGCTGTTCTTGGGCTGCGGCACTGAGCTGCCCTACACAAATCTTGGTCTAACGTATCTACAATGGCACAGAAAACATAAAATTAATTCCACAGCCTTTCCTAATTTCAGCGGAAGACAAAATTTGGTACTCTACACTTAGAACTCCTATGGGTAACCCAAACTCCCTTCCTACCTATTTAAATTCTTTTACAAGGCTTCCCGAAACCCTAAAGCGTAGGTACCGCACCTTAACTTTTTGAGTGCCTCTGCAAGAGGCGGTTGCCAAGAGGCCTAGAGAGTTGCTCAGCATCCCTTGGAAACATCCAGTGTTCTTCAGAGAATATAATGAGGTTCACGTTCAAATTGCCGTAAGGAGCCCTGTGCCCACCCTTCCTCTCCTTCCTCACTGTGGTAATGAAGGTGGCTTATGCGAAGTAGAGTTGTATTCTTCTTCTGGGTTTGGTGAGTGTATACAGGGATTCCTTGCGCACCCAGTTGGGGAGACCTTAAATTAAGCCCATATGAACATGAACTACAAACAACCAGCCGCCTCCCTAAAACCAACTCCACAGCAGCCTCGGTCGCTACACTAGAACTTAACGCACGAGAAACACTGGATTATTCGAGGTGCCGAAAGACTCCTAAACCTACCCTCCACCAATGAACTAACATGAAATCCCCAAACGAGCTCCACACAGACTACAGGCTTTGCGGGCTCCCATTCTTGCTTTTGGGAACCCGCCCATTGTTAGGACCAATTCGCAATCATGTAGTTAAAAGGTCCTCGGGTCGCAGTCGTTGTTAAGTTTGAAGAAAGAGCCTAGCATGGGGCCTAAACACTGGGGAAAGGGCTTAGACTATAGCACATAAAGGGGATGTCGGAGGAATGCAATAAGAAAAGGAGAGATTGTTGATAGCTCCCATCGTGATGTCATTGTTTAAGTCCTTACAGCAATTCAGCGAAGCCCTGAACCTAGATCCCAAGACTCAATCCTGAAACTCGAAGCCCTAAAAGTCTAAACCGAAACCCTAAACCCCTAAACCTTAATCCAAGCACAACATCAGCAGACAAGCAGCTACTGAGCCGTCTCGACGAAGTGCGGCAAAGGCATGAGCAGAAGCCTTTGGAGTCCCCCGGAGCAACACAGAAACCCGTGATAGACGAGCTAGGCAACAGGGATGGGGTTTGGAATTTAAGATTTTTACTTACCTCGTGTATCCTTAGCAAGGATTGAAGGAGTGGACAACACATTGCAAAACTGCTCTTCTATTGGGATGATATGCGGAGTATTATAATGCAATAAAATACCACAATCCAAACCCAAAAGGAACTATACAGACCGTTCCTGTTGAACGGGGGCTATTTGGGTTCCGTGTTGCCTTAGAGGACGATATTCCATGAGAATAAGAAGTTCTGGCAAACGAGGGGGTACGCACAGGTTTTGGATAGGGTTGAGTATAAGGCCTGTATAAAGAAGTGGGACAAGGCTTCAGACTGTGGGTGTTTCCATGGAAGAGCCTAGGGGCCCTTCTTAAAACTATGTCCAGACAATTTGGAACCGTTCCCAAAATCTAGCAGCACCCTCATCATATGGTGTTGTGACATCTACTTATACTTTACTGTCCTGTGTGCAGCGGCTCGCAAATGGGGGGAACCTCCAAACTACACCATCGCGTCCTTTGGGCTCTGATATCAAAACATGAAAAATTCATCTAGCAACATAAGCCTGAGCTCTAACCCCTTGGCCTCCCAGTCCTGAATCTTAAGTCGTTGTCCTTCAGCCCCTCAATAAGAAAATCAATGCTCAGTTCCCTTAGTATGAATCACGAGAAAAAGAACACCCAAAAGCGAAATGATGCTAACGTTGCAAGACATTCTCATCATGTTGTGTCTGGCCTGGATCTTCTGCACGTTTTCCAGGCTATCCTGAGGTCAGGTGAGGTCTGTCACTTGGGCAATTTGTTTTGCATGCTCGAAGCAACAAAGGCATGTGCGATGCGCACTCGCGAAAAGTCCGCCGTCATCGCACCGACTGGACACGGTAAGCCTGGAGAACGTCCCCTGCTTGCGGGACGAACGTCGTCAGCCGGCGCTGAACCCGTGCCCGGGTGGCCGCATCACCTGCACGCAAGTGCTGCTATGCTGGAGATTCTCCAACCACCGCTAGCGAACGACGCCATGGCGAATGGCAAAGGCGTGTCGATGCCAGCGCACCGACTGGACACGGTCCGCCTGGAGAACGTCCCCTGCTTGCGGGACGAGCGTCATCAGCAGGCGCCGGACCCATGCCCGGGTGCACCATGGCCAAATCACCTGCATGCAGGTGCTGCTATGCTAGCGATTGTCCAGCCACCACGAGCGAACGTTGCTCGACACCACGGCAAAGGCGTGTCGATGCCAGCGCACCGACTGGACACTGTCCGCCTGGAGAACAACGTTCGCTCGTGGTGGCTGGAGAATCTTCAGCATAGGCAGGTGCAGCTATGCTGGATTCTCCAACCACCACGAGCGAACGTTGCTCCACACCACGGCATGTCGATGCCAGCGCTGCAACTGGACGCGGTCCGCCTGGAGAAC